GAAACCCTGTCCCTTTCTGAGATTCCCGATCGTCAACACAGAGCAGAAATACAGCTGGACAGAAATGACTATGTCATCAGTGTGGTCGCAAAAAACTCTGTCGGTTCGTCCCCACCTTCCAAGATTGCTAGTATGGAGATTCCTAATGGTGAGTCCCTGGGGTCCTATAGCAAACAGGAATGAGGAATTGAAGGGAGAGGTTTGGAAGGTGAGGGTACTGTGTTGTGTCAGCAGTCTCCTGATCTCCCTAGCTGCTGCTGGCAGCTGCTGCTGGCAGGTCCAGAGGCACAAGCAAGGCAACTTGTCTGATGTTCTATTGACAGAGAGCAGCTCCCCTGATGGGTAACATAAAGACTGTCTCCATTACCCAAAACAAAACAAAACAAAAAACTCAGACTCACTGTCATTGAGTTGATGCTGACTCCTAGCAACCCTATAGGACAGGGTAGAACTGCCCCTGTGGAGATTTCAAGACTAACTCTTTATGGGAGTTTTTCCTGTGGAGTGGCTGGTGGTTTCGAACCTCTAGAACCTTGCTGTTAGCAGCCCAGTGTGTAACCACTACACCACCAGGGCGCCTCTTCCCTTTTACATTATCACCTAATGTTAGAGGTGGTCGTGGTCGAGGGCAGATGCTACTCAAAGAACTCTTTTACCGGTGAATTCAAAAACAGCTGTGAGTCAGCACTTCAAGAGTCAATGTGATTATGCTGTGTCAGTTAGGTGATTTCGACAACTGTCAGGAAAAGACTTTTCAAATGGGAGCTTTATGCTAAGAAATTCGTTACTAATAAAGACATCCTTCCACCATTCTAAATTAAGTCCAAAGTAAACTAAAAATAACAAACGGTGGTGTCACTTATAACTTTATGGATTACCTCCTCCATGTCTCTCTTGGTGGACTTCTGAGTCATGAGTTTTAAATAGCCATTTCCTCCTCCCTAGAGCTTTCCCCATCCTCCCTCCCCCGCCTGGCCGTCCAGTCCCAATATGGGAGCACTTTTGTAAATCAACACTCACTCCAAGGGGGAGAACAATCGGTTAGTTAGAGCCCTTGAGGTAGCTGCCTTGTCAGCTCCTGTGTGAGGCAGTTCCTTCTTGCTGGTTACTGAACGGGCTCTTTGCTGCACTTCTGCCGGTTGCAGGGGGATTGGGCGGAAAGCACCGTGCATCTTGGAGGCAGAGGCAGGATGCTGACCCAGCACCCCTGGAGCAGTGCATGCTGAGACAGGGCCCCACGGCTATGATGTAGCAGACACAGGCGGGTGAGGGTTAGAGCAAAGCCCACAGCTTCTCTCCATTTTAGACTGGTCAAAGAAGAATGTGACAGGAGGGCATAGAAATAAGGTATTCTATTGCTTTCTCAAGGGTAGGCGGCAGTAGCCCTGCTGCTGCCATTCCATTCAAGAGCTATTGCACCTCAGTGCTATCTAGTCAGGTCTGGCGCATAGTGTGCCCACAGGGCAGGTTTCCGAGGCTGTAAGTCTTTACTGGAGCCAAAGGCCTCATCTCCCCCCCCCCTCCACCCTCCCCACTGGCTGATGGTTTCGAACTGCTAACTTTGCAGTTAGCAGCTTGACAGCTAATCCACTAAGCTACCTGGGCTTCTTTCAAGACCTGCATAACCGTACTTTTCCAATTTGGAGACTGTCGGGGGAGCTGGTCATCAGCTTTCTGACCCTCTCCTAAGCCCGGAGCAAATCACTGTTCCTTAAGGGTCTCTCAGGGCTCAGGTTCGACAGCCTGAGTGCACGCTCACCTGGTGTGGCTTTAACAATCTTGAGCCAGAGCTCTTATATCCAGTCTTCTACATTCTAAGTCAAATGGTTGGATTTCTTCCCATAGTAGTTGGTTTATAAACGTAAATTCTGCTAAAAAAAAACCTTGTAAGCCTTCAACTTACTGGACCCTTGTAAAGAAATATAATTCACTTATGGAAATTGGGCCTTTCCTTCTGCTGCTGTGGGAAATTTCCCTTCCTTTGGGCCACGCTTCTCACTGCCGGCCTGGGCCTCACTAATGGCCTTGGCTGAGAGCTGGCCGGAAGGGAAAACAAAGCTCACCGCAGGCCCGGCTTCCCTCGGCTTCCCGACAGTCACTCCACAGCAGCGTTGCCCAGGAACCTGAGAGCAGCTTTTGTGGACTCTCTCTCCGTGCTGCCCACATTGGTCCCACCCTACTACAGCTGCCCTGAGTTTCAGCACTTCACCTCCTCCCTACCCTGCCTCTTGGCCACCCAGAATCCCCGTCAGCCCGCCTCCGGGGTGGGGCTTTTCCTTAAAAGAAAGAGGAGGCGGAGCTGCTGGAACCTGGAGCC